AATAAATTGATATAGCCTCAGGCAAATTTTTCCCAAACACTTTAAAAACAGGCCAGTTGATGGCACAACATTTACATTTACATTTACAGCATTTGGCAGACGCCCTTAGCCAGAGCGACTTACATAAGTGCTTTAAGACTCCACAATGAATTTTTCCCGATACTAGCTCAGTAAAAACCAAGGCTATGAATACCATCGATCTAATACTCTGTTGGAAAAGTGCCTTTTTTTTTTTTTTTTTTTTTTTTTTAAAAAAAGTAATGCAAGTATAATGCCAGAAGTGCTAATTCAGGTATTTCTGGAAAAGGTGTGTTTTAAGTCGTCTTTTGAAGACATGCAGTGACTCAGCTGTTCGGACATCTAGGGGGAGTTCATTCCACCAACTTGGTGCCAGAACAGAGAAGAGCCGGGAGGTGTGTCTTCCTTGTGCCTTGAGGGGTGGTGGGACCAGTCGAGCAGTGCTGGAGGATCGGAGAGATCGTGGTGCAGTGCGGGGTGTGATGAGGTCTTTTAGGTAGGATGGAGCCAGATCATTTTTGGCTTTGTATGCGAGCATCAGTGTTTTGAATCTGATGCGGGCAGCCACAGGAAGCCAGTGTAGGGAGCGCAGCAAAGGAGTGGTGTGGGGAGAACTTGGGAAGGTTGAAAACAAGTCGAGCAGCTGCATTCTGAATCAGTTGGAGGGGACGAATGACGCTCAGTGGTAAACCCGCTAGACAGCAATCTTTCCTCACACCTTTTAGTTTTTTAATTACAGTCTCTGCTCTGAAGAATGTCACTGTGGTCATCCAGTACAAGCCACTGTCCAGCTACCAAAATGTCAATTTCCTGTTATCACGCATCTAGAGACCAGGATTCACTTCTAACAGACCACTAGGAGCCTGCTTCCATGTCCATAAGAAGCTCCTTTCCTGTTTAGTGGACTTCTTGATGTAGCCAGAACTTCTGTAGCCAATGTTGGGGAAGCAGAGTAGGAGCCAATCACAGGGCTCCAGAGACATGAGGAGCCAAGTTCTTTTTTAAAAAGAGAGAGAATCACAGTCACATCAGCCAGAGTCAACAGTCAGGTAAGCAGGACTTTCTCTAAAGACGAACAAGACATGGACTAAGCAACAGAAAGAAGCTCTGCAGCTCATTTGTTCTTTAAAAATGCAAAGAACATCCATACTGGTGTCTGAAAGCCAGGAGGAGATACAGACGTTACAATCCTCTGGAGAAAAATCAAGGATTATTTATCCGCTGAGCTTTTAGTGTAGAATTTAATCCTGAGCAGGAGGAGGTGAAACATCCAGAAGTATCAGGCGGCTCCTCTGTGGGTTTTTGTCACATCGTCATCTTCTACCTGAGGAAGAAACAAGCTGCCTGTTAGCACAAGAGCAACATGAACTTCTAACCTCTGCAGAATTCAGCAAATACACCTGTAACACAGACCTGGACATAAATGCAGGATTCACAGTCACTGTCTTATGGCAGCCCATTTTACACTGATCCCAACATGACAACCTTAACCCCTCCCCAGCCCTAACCTTAACAATAAGTAATCAAACAAAAATATGAAACTTTTTTGGTATGTTTCGATTGCATTCACAGATCTTTGTGGGGACCTGAAAAGTGGTCCCCACAATGTAAAACAAAACAGAATTTTCACATTGTGGGGAACATTTGTGTCATTCAAATTCATTTCTTCGTGTATTTATTATTTCAGATTATGACCAATGACAATGAATTTTTTTCTTCATACTGAATAAAAACCATTTTTATAAACAGTTGTATGCACTTATGTGTATAATATTCTTACCAGGGAATATTTTTCTTTTTATATAATATGTATATTTTTACTGCTATTGCTGCTATTACTGCTGCTGCTACTATTCCAACTGATACTTCAATATCAAAACTTTTCTCTCCACATTCAGAATCAGCTGCTTTGTCTCCTGCTTTAACTGTGACAAGTCCTCTGTATTCACAGCTGTAAAAATAAGCATGTGTAATATGAGAAAACATTTGTGACAAAATATAATACAAACTCACAGGAAAATAATCTTTCCTTCATAAATAAAATTCTTGATCATTAATGGGCTTATAGGAATTATGAAACTTACTCTGTGTGTGGTTTACAGGATGTAAAAGAGCCATCAGAGTATGAATGATCACTGCAGTCCTCACATACTGTATCAGTGTATTCTGTTCCTGAAAGGTAAACACATTTAAAACCATTAACTTATTTCAAGAAGGCAAAGTTAATATCTGGGTTTACTCATTAAAACATACATTCTGTCCTTCTTTTGAACCCCTGACACCCCCCCAAACCCACCATTATCACCTCACACTCCCACCTGCCCCTTCCCCCTATGCCGTTTAGGGCTGCCGGCGGTGAAGCCAGATAGCGGGCTGCAGGGACAGGCTCCGGTGTGGTAGGGAGAGGAGAGTTAGGACGGGGGGTGGTTAGGAGTGCATGATCGCTGCTGAGTTTAGAGTGTTTGATAGAGGCGAATAGCGGCATCCCCATAGTGACGTAGCAGCGGTGGAATTCCCTTTCTGCGTGGTGTCTTAGATTGCGGACCTGTGTGAATTAATGTTCTTTCCCCGTGGGAGGGTCTTGAGCCTCGGGGGGGGGGGACGCTATGTTTTAATCTTGTCCGTGTATGTTTGTTTCGTGTCTTTTAAAGTAAGCAGCGTAGCCCGCTAGGGGTCGGGGCGGGACTACAGAGGCGGTACTGGTTCCTTGACGCTTGCCTGTGCCCGAAGTGTGGGAATTACTGAGTATTGCAGTGCAATTGGTGTGCCGTTCCCTAATATGGATGTGGTGTGGTGCGGGATTTACTGTGTGGTAACGTGGGTTAACACACGTTTGGAAGGGTTGGTTTGCTACGGGGAGATAGCAGGGCCGGACCCTTTGTGAACCCAGATCCGACCCAGGGACGGATTACGGACCGGGCCAGCGGGGCCGCTGCCCAGGGGCCCTTGGGGTGCAGGGGGCCCGTGGGGCCCCTAGCCCAAAACAATTTCGCTTATCAACAATGTATTTTCGTTTGTCTATTTTAGAGGGCCTACATTCTTTGATCCTCTGCCTACAA